CGCTGACTCCCAGCCGGGCTGCCGCGGCGGGGAAGCAACCGGGTGCCGGTGCACCGGGGCAGCGGGCTCTCTGCGAGCCGCTGTCCTCGCTGGGGCCGCGTAGGGCTGTAAGGTGGATACTCATGCTTGCCTGGTATAAATTAGCAGAAGTGTATCCGACTGGTTTATTTATTTTTCCCAAACCAAGGGTGTTATAAAATACATTCTCTGCGGCTCATGTTGACAAATAACTCGTGAGCTACCTGACAGCGTTAGTCCAGTTGTTGCCCATATGTCTAAATACCCTCGAAGAGACGTCAGTGCCGTTTAGCGAGAGAATTACCTCAAATGAAAACCAGAAGGAAGATGGGGTGGTTTTTTTTCTTCTCCCCCAAACCCACTTTACACCTGATGGCAGTAACACACAGGGAGGCTTTTTGAAAATTCAGTGTTACCTTCCCCCACGGCAGCGATCGCTTTACAACGTGACGGGGGGCGGGGAGGGGTGCGCTTTTTTTTTTTTTTTTTTTTTTCCTTTTTTTTTTTTTTTTTTTTTTTATCCCAACCTCCCTTAAATTCCTTTCGTTTTTGAAAATTCAGTGTTACCTTCCCCCACGGCAGCGATCGCTTTACAACGTGACGGGGGGCGGGGAGGGGTGCGCTTTTTTTTTTTTTTTTTTCTCCTTTTCTTTCTTTTTTTTTTTTTAATCCATACCTTCACTAAATGACTTGCGTTCGTGTTTGTTTAACAACGGGTCGCTTCGGTAAACGAGGCGATCAAAAGAGCGTTTGAGACTACGTGGATCCATTTCTCTACTGCTTGTAGACGCCTGGCCACCCAGAGGAGTTGTTGAATGCCTCTCCTTCCACCCTTCCTTTATTTACCCAAATGAAGACAGGGAAAGCTTTTAACCGAAGGGAGATTTAAGGTGATAAGCAGCGAACAGGCGGTCGGCACTGGAAGCCTGGGCTTCGAGCTGCAGCCCACCGTGGAGTAAAAGGGCTGGGGTGTTTCAAAGGCTATTTTTTTTTTTTTCCTTGACATTTTTCTTCTTTCGAAAACCGAGACCGCTTCTTCTCCCTCGAAATATTCCGACGGGTTGCCTTGCGACTGCATTTTAAACAACTATTTTAGCCCAACTCTCGCACCGACTGCTTCGGTAATTATTTCAGGCTTTTGAGCGTCCCTCACGGTTTTAGGGAAGACTCTACAACCCTTCTCCCCCCCACCCCAGGCGCTCTCTTTCTGCTCTACCTATATATTTTTTTTTTTCAGGAGCCAGCAGTTGGAGCTGCCTCTGGGGTTTGGGGTTTTGGGGGGGGTTGTTGTTTGTTTTTTTTTTTTTTTCCAGGGGACTAGCGAGATTAGGAATAACCCCGCTCGCTGGGAAAGAAAGACACCCCCCCCCCCCCCCTCCCCCATCCCCTTTGTGGGCCGGTTGTAAAGGGCGCCATT